TAAAATAAATTATTAATAATTAAAAATAATATTATAATATCATAAATTTAAAATATAATTTATATATTTAAAAATATTTATTTGTTCAAAATTTTAAATATAATTTATATATTCAAATATTATATTTATTTATATACATAATTATTTTTAAATTTTAATTATACATATTAAACATTTAATCTGTATATTCTCTAAGCTAAAATACTAGTTTACTAGTTTTATATAATTTGTATTCTAGCATATAGATATATCCCATTTTCAAACTATTGATTTGATTTATGCAAGACAGTAAATTTATTTTACTTTAGTGGACTTTTATGCTATCTTTTTCTTTTAAATCAATCGTGATTCAATTTAATTATAAATAATAATAATATATTTATTTCTTAATATAAGTACAAAATGCAAATAGAATTTTAATTTATACATAATACTAACCGATGATTAAAAATTAATTCTTTTCGACAACCTATTTAGGAAACTCAAATTTGAAATATTCTTTATTTTTTATGTATTAAAAATTTAAAATAGTTTTTTTTTCACAAGTAATTATCACACATCCAATGTGCATTATCTACCATATTAAGAATGTATGAAAATATATGCGTACAGTATAGACAAAAAAAAAAAAAAGATACTTATAGAATTGTAAATATTTACAACTTATGAAAGAAAGTGAATTTATCAAAGATTTTAGTAACAAGACTTTTGAAGGTTGTGACCAAAATTAAATTATTTGGTGAAAAATTTAATGATTAAAGAGTTGTGGAGAAAATCTTAGTGTATCTTTCAGAGAGGTTTAAATCCAAAATCTCTTCTCTTAAAGAAAATAATTTTTTTTATCAAATATCAATTATATAACTTGTGAATGTTTTGCAAGCGATTAAACGAAAAAGATCTTTAATGATGGAAGAAAATGCTAATTTATGGCTTCAAATTCTTTCCTTAGATTTAACACCTGCATTATTTATGTTCTTTCACTCCCTCAGCACTCCTCTTGTAACTTATCTCATGCCTCTTTTGCAATTTCAAGAGTCAAAATCTTGACAAATACATTATTATGTAGTGTTGTCTATATAATAGCAAGAACTTTTCCTTCTTTTGTCACATCATCATTATGACTCTTCATTTAAGCTATTATTGGATTTTTAGTAATGGAGTAATGGAGTAATGGAGGTGAATTACTTTCATTTTTCATTATAACCCACAAACTTTGAACTCTGACATAAATCCTCATTTTTGCCATCCCCAAGTGATAATTTTCACCAACAAATATAGGAGGTAAAGGTAAAGAATTATTGTTGGAAGACATTTTTGTATTTGAAGGTTTTTTTTTGTTGTTTTTTTTTTTCTCTCGCAAGCTCTTAAAAATCAATGAAACTCTTGATATCGGAAACAAAAAATGAAAATAAAAGATATGACTAAAACAAATATAGAGATTCAAATTAAAAAATCTACAACATCACACACCGAGAGTATTTACAACAAATACTTAAATAATAAAACTGACTAACCTCTAATTAGATAAAACAAACAACAAAATACGACTAAGCTAAAAAGCAAATATTACTTACCTACACAACTTACTTTTCCTGATCATTAAAACTTTTAACCAAACTTACAAGCAAGAAAACTACAAAGATTTTAAAATAGTTAATTATCACAGTAAAAAAATCTTAATCGCCAACAATTACAATATCTTGAGTGGGGTATATGCTTAAGAAAAAAACATGTACTCACTCAAAATATTTTGAAATTAATACATACATTATAGCATTGAAATTTGGGCTATATATAAGTGTCGGTGCCCTACTTGAGTTGAAGGGAAATGGATCCTCTCCAGTGATATTTTCCCTGGATCGGATCCTATTCATTCAATAAATTTTACTATAAAGTAATAATTTAATAAAATTAAGGGTGGGATCTGAACCCTTGAAAATCTCAAAATAAAAACTCAACATCAGATTATAAGTGCAATAAAAGAATTATTGAAAAGGAATGAAAGCACTGGTTTCTATAATAAGAAGCTATGCTATATAGTCTACAAAGAATTTTCGCTATACACAGTAACTGCTACCATATATGATACACAAAGCAGACTATAAATTAACACTGTACAGCCTCAAAAGGCCAAAAAATAGGTATACATTTTTATTGATCTGCCCAACTTCACAGCCAAATGATGCTTTGGTTGTGTGCACCACGCCATTACCATGGAAGTTAAATGGATGTAAGCAAAAGCAACATCACTTTCTGGTTGAGAAGAGCCAGTAAGCAATTCCATAAATATAGGCAGATAAAGGTGGCATACACAAACTACATCATTTGACTGTTGAAAGAAGAATATGTCAAAATATACTATCCATGGTTAGTGACACTGTCTCTCAAGTCATTATCCTTAGCTGCCAAGCGAGCTGTCGGACCAACAGTTGTTGGCCGCAATGACACTTGGCGCACCATAGCGACAAATTCAGGATCATTTGTCTTTCCCTCATGCCTTATCCACTGTACCATTTCGTGATACATGGGAAAGAACCTCATCTGTATTGCTGAGAAAGTGAAGTATGGGATAAGTGTTGTGATCGCCACAAACACTGTAATAATCCAAAAGGAAGGAGATGGAGCAAGAGTTTCAATGAAGACTTTGTAAGCATTTTTTGAAAAGCTGGGAGACATTGCTCCATAAGCTATAAGGAAAAGGTACCAAAGAGCAATAGAGCCCCAGATCAAAATATGTTGAATCAAGGTGAAGTAATTTATAGCAAGTGCCATCTGCAAGTTCACAACCCAAACCACACATGTAAACATCGTTGCTCCGAGTATATCTCTCCCAGCAGTTCTTCCCTTCTCATCAAATGCTTGAATCTCCATTGCCTTTGTGCAGAAGAAAAAAATTATTATAGCACTAATAAAGCCATTGAGCATCCAGCTGAGTATTCGACGCCAGCTAAAGAGGACATTCTGCACGCCTTCTTGATACAACATAGGAAACTGCCATATTAAATGCAAATAACATCGAATGATCATCAGGTAAGTGTACCAGGAGCCCCAGATAAAAGTAAATCAATGCATACTGTTTTACTTTGGACACAGTCAAAGGGGGCTTATTTATGTTGTAATATTATATATAAGTGACTTCTGTGTTTTAACATTATTGCTACCCTCTACAATGTGCATCCTAAGTGATATCATCATATCAATATCATGATGCAACTACATGCCACTAGGAAAGAGTAAAATCTAAAAAACAATTACTACTGGTTGAATTAGTTCTAATAGTAATGTAGATGTAATCATATGAATTATTGCTATGCTAGGCTTTGTTAGCTTTTTTATGGTTGGTTCTCTCTACTCTTCCATCAATCAGCACACTATTTTTTTTTTTTTACAACAGAATAAGGAAAAATATCATTTCATAACAACTATAAGAAACGGAATAGCATGCTGTAGAATGAAAACTAACAAAAAGCTTACCCTCAGACAGTACCGAGAAGACACATCCTGGTCAAAGACCCCGAGAGCAATCACAGGAAGTGATGAAAACAAGACATTGTAGAGAGACAAAAACCAGTCATTGTATGCAGGTTGCCCAGAGAAGGATGCATACACCTCATATAAAAATAAAGTAAAGCCAAATGTGATGTTCTTGTAGAAAAAGTAGCATATCTGTCAGAAGAAAGAACAAGTCATTATAAATACCAAAAGGTTTCAGATTATCAAGAAGAAATAACAAGTCAATATAAATATAAAAGGCTTCAGATTATCCTTTATGGCATATGAATAAGTTTGGCAACTCTTGAAACAGGTTTAGCCATTTAGAATTGTTTAAAATATCCAGACATAAATTTAGGTTTTTTTTTCTTTCTAGTTTTAAGTTTAACTTGCATTCAAATAAATTTTTTTAAACCAGGTCTTGTAAATTCTAATTTAAATTGGAAAAAATATATATATACTTATTGACCTTTGGATGAATGACCTAAGATCTAGCTGAAGGAGAAAAATGGGAAAATGGAAGATTTAAGAACTAGTTTTATTATAAGAACCAACTTTTTAAAATATACCCAGTTACCAAACCCCATATATTTAAAAGATGGTGCCGCTGCACTTTGATATCTATTTTTGCAAACTTCCCAAAATCCCCATAATCTTTAGAATGTTTCTATGTGGGTATAAGAGTGGCAATACCATTGATGAGATCCTTCGGTAACACCAATGTCCATGTACAAGAAGTAATCTTTCCAAATAACGAAACTGTGCAATTGCAATATCACTAGACATAACTGCCTGAGAGAAAAGATATGAGAAGGAACTCAGAAAGTTGTAATAGAAAATAGGAAGCAATAACAAATTAAAGAACAAAACATGAATAGTTGATCAATTTTCTGATTACCTGCATTCCTTCAACGCCACTGATGCCAACCCCTATATCAGCTTCTTGAAGCATTCCCACATCATTAGCTCCATCACCTATAGCTAATGTAGTTTTTCCAGTTCCAGATTTGACTAGTCTGGTGACCTTTAAGACAGGAACCAAAAAATATTACTTTTAAAAGCTAACCGAAATCATTGTCAGAATTGAAACAAAAATGAAGACGTGATATCAAATAGAGAAGAAACACAACAGATTGAAACATACAAGAGCCTTCTGCTTCGGTGACGAACGGCAGCAGATAACGGATGCACATCGAACTGCAAGGTCTAGAAACATATTCTTTGTATTGTCCTCTAGGGCATAAGTGAGTGATTTTCCATCAACAATTAGAGCAAATGCTTGCTGAGGGGTTCCTTTGGAGGCAGTAAGCTGTTGAGCAGCTTCAGATATTTGATAGCGGATACTTTCTCTTGAAGCCTAGTAAATGAATCAGCGTAAAAACATCAGAAACTCAACTCTTAACTCTGGTTTTATTAAGATACTTACACACCAAGCAATACATTCCAACACATTAGACAGGCAAAGAAAGGTTTTAATGTGTAAAAACAAAAGGAAAGAAACAGAATAACAGAATCTATTCATGGTACTTCTTGCATCTTACAAACAAAAGTGAACAATGCCATGCAAATGCAGTTTTGGAATTACTAATATCACTCTGTCAAGATGCTTGGTTAGCAAAACTTGAATGCAAGAATTCATGACATATAAGTTCAAATCGCCAGCATGCATCAACTCTCCATGTAAGAAGACCATATTGGTATATTATAATAACATAATCACTTTGTTAACATCCAATTACACATAGTATGCAAACTACATCATTATATATAAAAACTAAAGGTTGCAATTTATTTTACCTTGGCAATGGCCACCTTGTCTCCCGCTTTCTCCAATGATTGAATTTCTTGAGTTTCCAAATGAATAATAATCTGCTTCATTCCTTGTCTAAGTAAACTACAAGAAAAACTGCAATTGTATATTGATGTCAGACATATTAAGAAGTATTTCTAAAGCTGAAGCCAATGTTAAGAAGGTATAATCACTAAGTATACCCAATATTGATCGCAGTCTCCATTTTATCCCCAGTCAAAACCCAGATCTTAATTCCGGCCTGGGCAAGCTTGTCAATGCAATTAGGAACCTAGAAAAGCAATATGGGAAGCATCATTTCGAATCCAGTTTCAGCTGATAAATTTACATATCTAAACATTTCTTTTTCCTAACTCACCCCATTTTGGAGCTTGTCCTCTACAGCAGTGGCACCAAGAAGAATTAGATTCCTCTCAATCTTGTCTGATACTTCCTCAATCAGTGTGTCCCGATCTTCACTAACTGAATTTTTTGCTTGAGAAAATTTACTATCAAACTCCTTGTATTGGTTTTCATCAAGTTCACGATATGCCAGGATCAGGGTCCTTAGACCTGCATCAGCATATTCATGCACATGTTCTGAGGTTTTCTCTTCAAACTCCCTCCCATCCTTGGCAAGCCTCTCAAACATGACACTGCATGAAAACATGACAAAAAGCAGGTCAATAGGGTTAAATGCAAATGTAAGAACTCCAAAATATTATGGTTACATGTTAGTTTATCACAAACCTGTCAGCCCCTTTACAGAGTAGCAAAATTTTTCCTTTTTCATCTTTCACTATGACTGACATTCGCTTCCTTGAGCTATTGAATTCTAAAACATTGAGAAGTTTGTACGTCCTGAAAAAAGAAATTAGATAAGTGTATATATGATGCATTCTGCATTCTTTGGATTCCAAAAAGCAGTAGGACAACAATATTTGCATTAGGAATAACGCATTTTAAAAGTTATTTTAGGAGTTAGCATGCAGCATTTGTAATAATGTATAATGTGAAATCTATAATTTCAAACACCATGACAAAATACAAGTGGAAGAGATGGCTAGGGAAAAAAGTTTAACCAGTTTTTCATCCACATTAACTGTTAAGATGTTTCACATCAGTAAGAAATATGGCCAAAATATTCCTTAGAAGGCTTGGAAAATACTCCCCTTCTTGACCTATCTTTAGGGGTCAAGTTAGGACTAGCCCATTTCTAATTTTTAACTAAATATTATTTCCACCATTTATGTTTTAAAACAATATCAAAACATCTGTTGAATCCACATATCTATAACTCAAATTCAACTACTACGTAAGCAGCTTCAGTCTACTTGGTCAGTCATTCTAGGAGTTGAAAAATATCAATCAGACTCAACATCCATGTGCAACTAAGGTGTGCTAAAAGTGATCGCATTTAAGGCGGCCTTCCAACCCTCCCTTTCACACCCAGGGCTACCAGCCTTGGAGTGTGGCAAATGCAGATTGCCTAACAATGGATCTAGGATCAATTCTGATACCATCTTAGTAATTGGGCTTAGGATCTCATTCAACTTCACAAAACCAACTTGTAAGATGAGGATTTTCCATGTTTGATAAATTCTATTTAAATCATATTTTTAGTTAATGTGAGACTTAACCACCATTCTTGAGGCTGCAATTAAACTATCCTCCAAAGAGGTCAGTCACAACTAAGGCAGAGTAGGGGTGACCATAACTGAGGCAGCTTTTAAACAAAAACTTCTATGGAATCCACAGATCCAAAACACTAATCCACCTATTTTGTAAGCAACTTCAGTCTATTTGGTCAGTCATTCTAGGAGTTGAAAAATATCAATATCAAACTAAACATCCCCGTGCAGCTATGAGCCTATAATCTATTGACTAGATCAGCATCAGAATCTAAGAGTAGCTACTTCCAAACACTTATTGAAATTAGTGTCTGTTATTACAAGACTTGTTAACATGCAATTGCATGTGCGTTTTTCAGTGAGATTTCTGCTTAAAACATTTTTTGTTGTTGAGAACTGAAGAATGCAGCATTAAAAATCTGTGGCTACTAAAGAAACAAATAAATTCATAAAAACTGACCTTTCAATTTTGTCACCGGAAACTGGATCTAATTCATACATTGACAAACTAGTCTGAGTCCTTTTATAGAATTCAAATCCAATTTCTCTCGCTGCAATTACGAATGCTGATTCATCTGGAGATTCAGTCTCATATGAGACATTTCCTGTCTCTTCATCAACTTCTGGTATGGCTGTATGGCAGATAGCCAACAAGCGAAAAAATTTCTTGATAATATCTGCATTAGTCTCATTAACCCATTTTCCATTCATTATTCTTTCATCTGTAAAGTTAAAACCTTTGATGGGTACATTTCGGTCGGGAGATTCCCCTAGGTTGTCAATCAAAGCAGGACCATTTTTTCTACTCATTGTCCTCTCAACCTCCGTAACACCACGACCATAAGCTACCCCAGCAATGGAACATTTGATGAACTCCATCGAGTTGCAGGTCAGAGTTCCAGTTTTATCAGAAAGTATTGTGTCAACTTGGCCAAGTTCCTCGTTCAAGTTTGAAGTACGGGCATGGGCTGGTTTGTCTGCATCTTCATAGTACATATGGATATCTTGATTGATGAAGATGCTCTGAAGGACTTTGACAATTTCTATTGAAACATATAATGAGATGGGAATGAAGAAACCATATAACATTAAGGCTGTCAAACAATGATATATAGCAGCAGCAGGTGCTCTTTTAGGATCAAAGAAAATTGTAGAATCATCTGGTCTTAAATACCACCTTTTCATCACTCCATTGTCCAAGTCATCTTTAGTTGTAAAGCCAAAGAAAATAGATCCAACAACTGCCATTAGAAACAAAATGCAAAACATGAAGTAGATAACCCTATCCATCTTCTTCTCAACCTTTCTTCTCTTTGAAGGGGGGTCAGTGGAATTTTGAATGACCTTCGTGTCATGACCAGTGAAGATGACAACTCCAAATACATAGTCTGTGTTACGAAGTTTAGAGTCTCTCAAAAGAAGTTGTTGAAGAGAAAGGGGATATTGTTGTTCTTCATACTCCATGCTCCCAACAAATGAATAAATTTTCATTTGGATCTTCACATTTGACTGTAGCTTTAAAATCACCGAAATGAAAGTCCTCGTGAAAGGAACAGGTTACTTCCAACCCTTATTTTAACTTCAAATTTGTCTCTCCATCCAAGTTCATAGTCTCTACATAGCAGACTGCATCCTCATAACAGGATGAAAGTAATAGGAGGTCTGCAGGGAAGAATTCATCCTTCATTATCTTCACTATATGCCCTACCTTCAGATTCTTCCACTCAGTATATTCAAAAGTTCCATGTCCTTTATGCATTTTAACTCTTCTATTATTTACTTCAATATCCTGCAGCAGGATTCCACTAGCTAGGTTATAAACTCCAACAAAGCAAATCATTATTGCTTTAGTTTCTCTTAATATAAAATATAAACAACTAATGCTCTATTACTTTAATTTCAAATAGATATTTAATTAAACATAAAAAAAATTGAAAATCATAATCATATTAGCTCAGACAACAGGAATTCAAACGCAAGGAAATATTATGGCAGAAAAAAAAATTATAGACACTATTTTGCCCTTTCTGGTTTTTGATCAAAATGTCATTTTATCAAATTATTAAGAATTTTCAAATCTTGCATTAAATTTAACTTGGAATCAGGGACATAATGTTAACAACTACTGGATTATGAACAAAGAATTTAATAATTGCATCAAACAAATCATGTTAAGGATCTGAACAAAGAATGCAGAATCTTCCATAAACTGACTGCCATACTGTAAAAGGAAATAAAGAATCCTTTTATAACCAATAACTTTCACCAACATAAAAAAAAAAAAAAAAAAACTCAACCTTTCAAGAAAACCACAAATTTCTTTTAAAAATTACTGATATTCTTCAAGCCATGGGATCCTCTCTACCCGCCACACCAAGCATTGTTTACAGACACTATAAGTTGCTAAAAAATATAAATCAAATCAAATTTAAGAGGAGAGACCAATTAGATTCGTATGGAATCCACACAGTTGTGCTGCAGGGTGGAAGACAAAAAGGTTCAAGCACTTCACTGTTAATAAAATTAAACTAAACTCTAGCCACTACGAGTATAAACAGAATGGAGTACCTGCTGTTTCCTTCGCCAATCTTCAATAGCCTCTTTGATCATAGTTGCTATAGTAATAACAATCAGAGGAAGGATAGCACTGACAGCTGTATAAGGAGCCAGCTTAGTGAAGGCCAAGATGCCAGTTACCAAAAAGAAGAAATTGGCCACCCTCCTAAACTGCTCAAAAAGTGACTTAGGTAAGAAAGTAACAGCATTATACTTTGTGGAGCTCACAGAATTATCAGCATAATTCCTTATCCCAGCCTCAAAGCTCCCTGGCTCATTGCAAAACACCACCCTGGAATACCCTCTCTCTCCAATATGTGAATGATCCACCTTGAGAGATTGCTTCCCACAAGCAAATGAATAGATCTTGCTAAGACGCAACTTCCTTCTCCTTTCACCCCTCATTCTTCTCCTCCCCAAGTCTACCATTCAATCCACCAATATCCACAACCACAAAGAAAAAGCCCCAAGAGAGAAAAACTACTGCCTCCACCCCAAAACACCTCCCACGAAAGACAACTACCAAAACTAACCACCTCCTCAAGTACTTGTCAAACCCAAACTCACTCTCAAGTTTCAAAACAAAATAAAACCCTCAATGCACCCCAGCCTCTTCAACCACAACCACTATTCAATACCCCAGAAACTCAAAACCCCTCTACCCAATTAAGGGTCAAAGAAATTGAAGAAAACAAATCAACCCAAAAATAAAAAATAAAAACTCTGATCACAGAAGAAGAAGGTTACAAAAGCTGACACCAAAATAACAGAAAGGTTCAGAGATGCTAGAGAATATAGATATATCTACTGTCAAGGAAAAGCAGCAACGTGATATTTGTGTATATATATGCAGAAAGCAGAAAACAGAAAACACCCAGAAACAGACACGTCAAAGGGTGCCTAGAAAACCGGTCAAGGAATCAGCTTGGGAACAGAATGTTCGAGGAAGCCAACGACGACAATAATAACAACGAGTGAAAAATCACCATGTTTGATAATTCCTCAAAGTGTGAAACAAGATGAATAATAGTAAGGTGAAAATGGTAGCGGCGTTGAACAAAGACTTGGATTGGATCTCGCATTATGCCGTGGACGCGCATTACCCTTCCGAAGAATTCAAACTCGTGCCACTTTTCCACAGTGCCATGGGAAAATGATGCATCCAAAAGTTCAATGAAGGGGAAGAAAACTCGAAAAATAAAATTAATAATATTAAACAAGATGAAAACGAACGTAGAGACTAGAGAGAAAGAGAAAGATTAAGCTGTGTAGTTAAATTTTTAGTCGTTTTTTTCCTCTATTTCGCGGGAAAGCTATGGAACTCGTCAATGGTGTTAGACAAGTCTCTCTCTCTCTCTCTCTAGGAAGCTTCACAGCTAATTAATGCACAAAAGAAGAAGAGACAAGACAACTTAGTAAATAACGTTTTTTTGGTGTATAACTAAGTAAATAACTAATTTTATGCAATGTTTGGTGTAATTCGAAATAATAGAAACTAATCAAGCACCCGATAATAGAAATACAGACAAGAAGCCAAACACGGGTTTGACTTTAAGCAAAATTGGAAAAAGAAAAATAATTGGGTGCATAAGCAAAATTGGATTTGGTCAAGGGTCTTAAATAGTACTATACTAAGGTATAAATTAATAAGCATTGAATGAAAAGTATTTTTTTTCCACATAAATGAAAAGTATTTATTCATCTGAATCCAGAAGTGGTGTAAAAGTATTTAGTAACAATAATCTATTTTTTTGTATAGTTACTTTTTTAAGATTGCTTTTAAAGTAAGAGAATCCATTATTGCATGCAAAATAGTAATGAAAGTTAACATTATTGTCTATTTTTAAAAATGAACTAACAAAATTAACATAATCGTAAGATTCTTTTCCATATTTAATTGTTGTAACTATAGTATAACTGGCTATTAGTTTTATCTTTAAAAAGTTAATGAAAATCAAGTGTATTTGAATGAGAATATTTTTTGTGATAAAAAGTTTTTAAGAGATGAGTTTTTTATATAAGTTGTTAATTTAAGAAAATTATCAAAATCATATATTGTGAAATAGATTCTCTAATTTTAAATGTAAAATTTGGACTATCCTCATTTTTCAATTAGAAATTTTCATTATTTTATCTCCTCTATTAAGACTTATGAGTTACATTTCACATGCAACTAGCCAACAAATATATATTTTCAATTATCTTAAATTACATTTTTATGTTTATTTATATAATTTTCTTAATTACATATTAATTTCAATTTCCTTTTATACTTGTTATAAATCTGAATTCTTTTTTTTAAAAAATAATGTTTGTGAGAATTATCCTTCAACAATATTATTTTTAGGAGAAAAAATTAAACAAGTGTAGCATTGTATGTGTTTAGTTTTTTAATTAATTACATGTGATATATGATTACTTGTTGTTACTATTATTGTTTTAGAACTTTGGAGGTCAATGGGAATTCATGAGAGTTAAATTGTTTTTAAGGTAGTTTTGGTTAAAATTAAGTAATTTCATGTTAAGGTAAGGTACATAAGTTTTTTTAATACATGAACTTCATAAGTTCATGTTTTAAAAATATTAGAGAGAAACTAAAAGAAAAGTTTCTTGGAAAATCCAAAGACTCTTTCTCTCCTTTCTTCTATTAAATCAAATCACCTCTTTTCTCTTCCTTACAGTTGAATTTGCTTGATTTGAAGTTAGATGAAAAACACACAGAAGGGGGGTTGAATGTGTGTGAACGAAGGATTTTAAAAACGTTTTCGTAGAGGTGCCACTTTCCATCTGAAAATAATATTTCAAGTGTAAGATTGGTAAAAAAAACTTGCATCCGAAGATCTATTGTCTGTTCGAAAATGGTTTCCTTGTCAAACAAATATAACTTTATCTAAATATTGTTTAGAGAATAGGTAGTATTGGACAAAGTTTCTTAGTGTGATAAATCAATATAAGTAAAATTGCATTTCTAAAATTAAATAACAGTGCACAGAGTTTTTATATTGGTTCACTCGTTCTGAGCTACGTTCAGTCTCCTTCAACTGAAGGGTTTCACTAATCACAACGGATTACAAGTATTCTTAACCACTTCTGGTTCGTCAACTTCACTTGCTGATGCTAGTATTCTTAAACCACTTCTGGTTGCCCGAGTATTCTCAATCACTCCTGGTTCGTCAACTTCACTTGCTGACACTAGTATTCTTAAATCATTTTTGGTTCTCCAAGTATTCTTTTGCTAGCCTCTTCAGGCTTTACAGACGATAGATGTTTTGAGTGTGTATGTGACTCTCACAGAGAGGATAAAATGGTTTCTACACTCACTAAGGTATTCAACCTTAGTTTTAAAAGAATGTGTTTAGAGTGTGTATGTAACTCTCATAGAGAGGATAAAATGGTTTCTACATTCACTAAGGTCTTCAACCTTAGTTTTACAAGAATGTGTGTAGAGTGTGTATGTAACTCTCACAAAGAGGATAAGGTAATTTCTACACTCACTAAGATAAACTATTTTAGTTTTACACAGCTATTCAACTTTGAACAAGAAGAGAGGTGAGATTGTTTTG